CATCTTATAAACGCCTGGGTAGCCTCTACAGCATAAGATTGCTGATTTTCAAGAGGGCCCAGGGTCACAAACAAATATAACATAACATAAAGCAAATTGTATAAAAGTAAATTATACAATCAAGTAACAAAAGTTAACAGAAATCAGTATAACTGAAAATCAGTATAACTGAAGAGTTAACATATATAAACATATAAACAACTGAACAAAAATATACAAATCATTAAATCAGTGGAGGTCAGAGGTCTGTTTAACAGCTGCCTTGAAGCGTTGCAGGGTTGGGATCTGTCTTATGTCTGCCGGAAGTTTGTTGAAAGAACTTGTACCTGTGTAAGCAAATGTTCGCTGACCTGCTGTGCTAGTGTAATTTGGTAAATGTAGCTTAGTAGTCTGTCTTGTGTTATAAGTATGAAGATGATAATTATGGCAGAAAGTAGAAGATAGGTAAGTTGGAGTCAGGCCATTCAAACATTTAAATACCATCACACAAGTGTGTTCAAATCTTCTATCGACCAGGTACTTCCAGTTCAGTGCCTGGTGGAGGCTCTCAGTGCTGCAGTCACGTAGTCTGCGTTGAAGCACCACTCGAGCTGCTCTGTTCTGTAGTATCTGTAGTTGTTGTAGTTTAGTGGCACCACAGCTCCCCCACACTATGTCGCAGTAGTCGAGTATAGGCAGAATCATTGTTTTATATAACTTGTCATCAATATTGATAGTGAGGCAGGGTCTAAGTCTACCAAGTAGTCCAATTCTCTGAGATACTTTACTGCCCATTTTATCCACATGTTCGTTAAAGTTTAAGTGGCAGTCGAGGTTGACACCCAGGTATTTAAACGTTAGTACCTGTTCAATGATCTCCTGCTCTATTTGGAGTTCCAGTGTTGGTGTATGTTTTAACCTATTTGCCGTACCAAAAAGCATCCATTTAGTCTTAGATATGTTTAATGTTAAGCGGTTTGTTTGGAACCAGGTGGCCAGACCAGTGAGTTCAGCGTTCAGTGTCGACTCGATGTGTTTAGCATTCTTATTGGCACAAAATATTGCTGTGTCGTCCGCATATAGGCATACCTTACATGTGGTGACAGCTTCAGGCAAGTCATTTATGAATATATTGAAAAGTAGAGGGCCCAATATGGAACCCTGCGGCACTCCCAGTGTAACAGGTAAGTAATCTGATTGAATACCATTCAGAGAAACAATTTGTTGTCTGTCTGACAGGTAGTTTGAGAACCAGTGAAGCTCCTTACCCTGTATTCCTATCCATGACAGTTTCATTAGCAATAGTCTGTGGTGTACTGTGTCGAAAGCCTTTTTTAGATCCAGGAATACACATCTTAGAAACCTTACATCTAGAACAACTAATATCGTTAACTGTAGGGAAAAATTATCTAAGAAATACGTAGCAGCCATCAAAGACCCCTTGGGAAGGAGCCAAAAGTCTGCAAAATTCTGGGAACTGGAGCCAGAATTCTGCAAAATTCTGGGAACTGGAGCCAGAATTCTGCGCAGAATTCTGCAGAATTGGGGTAGTCACAAAGGCGTCCTCGGTGGCCGATACATATACATACTTCCTATATAATTTTTACCTATAAATATAATTTACGATATTAGCCCATCTAGATGTAAGGTTGCAGAGATATGGGAATTAGTCCGGAATTAAATTGAAAGTCTAGAATTAAACTGGAGGCTGTTAGGCCATGTTGATTTGATTATATGGATGACATCCTCCGGGAGCCCCAAAATCGATGCGCGCGTGCGAATAAAAAAAAAAGTTTTGCACAAAAAAAAAGTTCTTTTCATTATGAAATCTACGTGGTCATGAGGGTTGAGCAAATGGCACAGAATATGGTTTGGCGAATAATCTAGTCTTCAAGTTCATTTCTTTACAATTTCGTATTTTTTCGTTTGATTTTGGCATTCTACGACATTGGTATAGTTTTTATTAATTTTTTTGTAACTTATGGTATATTTTTGCTCATTTTGCAACTGTTTTGTACGATTTACAGTATGGTTGAAAACTTTTTTTTGTGGAAACGGCGGAAAATTCATGCGCGCGCGGATGTCATCCATATAATCAAATCAACATGGCCTTATATATAATTACATGTACATTTGCAGTCAACCAAAGCCAGTCCAAGGCCATGGTTTTGTTTCTTTTTGTGACATTAATGCTTCGGGATTTACACTACTCAATACCATTTAAAGTGCGTGGAAAAAGGAAATATATAGTGGTCGACTAATGTTCAAGCAGATCCTATGGTGGCAAAAGACAGTATCAAATTGGCCAGGCAGTATCCAGTTGACCAGAGAGGGTCCAAAACGGAGCTATTGGGCGCCAGAAATGTCACATATGCTGTAGATTTCGGGAGTCAAGAATGAGACCATAATACCATTTCTCATATCCGGAGGCCACGTAATGAAGCGCTTTCGGACGTTCGGAGCTTCTTGGGTGGCGTATTGGACCCTCTCTGGCCAATTGAAACTGCATGCCTGGCCAATTGATATTGTCTTTTGCCACCCTGGGATCTGCTTGGAGATCAGTAGTCGACAAGCATGGGTCGATCCACACTTACCAGCGTTTCACCTGTTCCGCTGAGACGGTCGGCGCGCCAAGAGAGCTGCCTGGATACAACGATATTTTACGTATACACAGTTGTCGCTCAGACTGCTGGGATACCTATTTGTCAGACCAATGAGGTGTGTAGATACCTCTATAGACCCACCCGAAACGACCGGTTTTCAGCAGTTTTGTTTCCTACGACTATGACTGTATGTCTGTGGGATTCATGTGGGGAAGCCATGCGATGTTCCTTGGAACTGCATAAAGGCATTTGTTGAAGGTGTAATGAGGAGATTTAATGTTGTAGTATCTCTTACACAAGGTGCAATCCACACAGCATGTTCCTGAAGTAATACATGTATGCGATGTATTTGTATGACATAACACGTTATATGTCAGAAAGTATACAAATAAATTATCCAGGTAAACAAATATTCCTTTAATACCGTTCACCAAAGTTGTTAAACTTTTCCTTGACTAAAACTCGAGCATTGCATTTCAAATACATGCAAGGTACATTTTCTGATAGAAAAATGTTTGATGGAAAACATATTGCCGCCGACAGCTAGCTGTGACCTACTTCATGCTAGCGTGAAATGGTGAATTAGTTTAGGGATAAAATATCTGGAACGCAGTCCGCGCTACTTCATTTTCAACTCATCCGGCGAAGAATCCAAAATCCTAGCCTCCTGCTGGCTATAGTGAACCCCCGACATGGTTTCACCGTGTGTTCTCGTGTACGTGGGCCTGGTTTGCAGCGCCGTATTGCCGCTGTACCTTGCCGAAGTGACGGTACCCGGGGCCGGGGAGGCAGAAAGAGGAACGTGCAGTAAACAGTACACGAACAACCACAACATCACCGTGGTCGCCTCGCCTGGCCAGGACGGGCGGAAGGGAGACGCGGGACCCAGGGGTGAGTAGTCAGAATTTTTTTTAGTAGTTCAATGCAAGGCCTATACGACCACTTCTCGGCATTGAACTAGAAAGATGAGAGAAACATGTCTGTCAATGGCGGTGAACGTTTGATTTGAAAGCCTGTAGATTGGAGGTTGATGGGAAACACTTGTCAGGGAGGGAATTACAAAGCTTGGCCGTACGGAGAAAGAAACTGTCACTGTAAAAAGATTTTTCGAACTAGGAATTTGGACGGTGAAGTTGCGTGTGAGCTAGGGGAGAACCTAGTGGAACGCTTAAAAGTTCTGAGTGGTGGAACTAGTTAGGTGATTCTAGCCTCCTGTGTAGGACTCCGGGCGGGTGAGAGTTTTGATATAAAATTTTTAAGGCGTTCTTTTGTTTGAAGCAGGATCCGTGGCGCCGGCTGGTTGTAGGATAGCCGACAAAAGAACGCGTAAAAAATTCTACAAAACGCAGTATCAAAACCGGAGGCCTGCACAGGAGGCCACAGAGATTCGTCAGTGCAATTTAGACATCCAGGTAAAAAGATACGAAAAAAAAAGTTACTCAAGAAACTGGTGACCGTTTCCAAAATCATATAGCCACCCTTTTTAGCTTTTGTCTGCTTCCCACGCTCGTTAAAGAGGTGGTTAAAAATCATATCCAGCTGCTTGAGTAACTGTTTTTTGGCGTTGTCAGAGATTCATAAGTAAGTTCGAAAAATACGGCATAGAAAAAATATGTGTTTACAGCTATTATAATATTTTGCTTTTAGATATGATGTATGTGTTACTAGTAGTGTCACCAACTTTATCATCTTGGAATTCGGCAACAACGAGAACAGTATCACTTTTCTCTATCGACATTTGATTGTTGAACAGGTACAGAGTACAGTAAACTTAGAACTAGTCACACTAAGAAAGGGCATCAGATTCGCTTTACTAGAATGCAGTAGGGAGATACCAGTCTCTACCAGACTTCGAGAGGCAGCTGGAAAGAGTAGAAATTGGCCATGCAAATAGAGAGATTACATGCCGTCCGGGTGCATCAAAATGTCAACTCCCTCGGCATGTTATCTCTAATTTTGGCCAATTTCTACTCTTTCTAGCCGCATCTCGAAGTCTGGTAGAGGCTACAGGGAGATAGTTATCGGATCAACCACCTTCGCCTAAAATACATGTAGTACTGTAAGTTTGAATGCATTGTTGCTATCTTGGTTGAAACAGTCTGGCACTGCTGTTCATGTGTGTGGAAAGGGACTGGTGGCACCTGTTTTCTGACAGGAGCATGTTTTTTTTTTACCCTAGGCCTGCCCGGTGTACCTGGCGAGAAGGGACAGAGGGGCATCCCGGGGAGACTGGGTCCTTTCGGCCCGCCAGGTGAGCGCGGACCCGCCGGTGAGAAAGGCGAGCTGGGTCCGGCGGGTCCTCGAGGTCCTCCCGGCGACTCCTCTCGCTCCTCCTCGGCGCTGGTGGCGTTTTCCGCCGCCCGCACCTCCAAGGTCTTCACGGGGACCGCCGTGACGTACGACGTCGTTCACGTCAACGAAGGAGACGCCTTCAACCCCCGCACGGGGAAGTTCACGCCTGCCGCCTCGGGGATCTACTCGTTCACGTTCACCGGCATGACCGAGTACGCCGCTAGCGCGAGTATTCTCGTCTCCCTTATGAAGGTACTAGTAGTTTTCGGACAGTGAATCTTTATAAAGTTTATTTGCATGTTATGGGGTATTACTCCCTAAGCAGAGGTTTGGGTTTTGGGTTTTTAGGCTTTTTTTATCGGGGTTTCTTTTTTGCACTGGGATTTTTTTACACCAAGAGATTGGGTGGCAGTTGTGCCCCGTCGTTATGCCCTTGGGAAAGGCACTTTACACGACTTTCCTCACTCCACCCAGGTGTGAATGGGTACCTAACTTCGGTTGGGGAAAGCCGTATTGAGGTCACCTTGTGGCGCCGAATGGCAGCCGCACAGACCCTTGCGACAGTTCCACAAGAATGCGAGGAGAAAATATGTTATGTATTTCATATGTATTATTATGTGATTGTAAACCCTGCATCAATTCAGCGCTATAAAAGACTGCGATTGCACGGGTAATGTTTGACCAATAAACCATTCAATATTATTATCATTTCAAACTGCCCCTTCTACGACCTCGATAGAAAGGTCCTGTTTGAAGAGGCCAACAAATTCCATCCTATTTTCTCCACGTTTACAAACAAAAAGAAAGCTACTCTCCTCTAGACATCACAAATTAAAAACGCACACATTACAGAAAAAGTGGGATCATTCGTCTTCCACTGTCTTGGTAAAAGATGTCGAACCCAATAATTTACAAGATAAGTTAGAATTTAGTGTTTAGTAGTTAGAGTAGTTGCATACTATATCGTTTTCCATCCTGTTGTCCTTCATTTATTTTCATGTTACATGTACTTGCAATTGGCCTACGGGCAAAAGCTTGCAATAAACTTTCTTTCTGTTATTATTATCATGAAGAACGACGAGCGGGTCGCCAGCCTGCACGTCCGCAACCCGGCCTACGAAATGCACCAGTCCAGCAGCAACAGCGCCCTCTTGCGGCTGCAGCTCGGTGACGAGGTGTGGGTGCAGCTGTGGAGCGGGTACGTCCTGTACAGCGACGGCAACAGGTACATCACGTTCTCGGGCTTCCTCGTCCACGCCGATTAACGGAAAATTGGCGCCCTCTTGCGGCTGCAGTTGGTCGACGAGGTGTTTGTTTGTTTGTTTGTTTGTTTGTTTGTTTATTACGATCTCCAGGTGTGGGTGCTAGCCTGGAGTCTAGCCTTCAATCTTTGGTCCCCTCCCCAAGATCCGCTACCAGCGGACCAAAGCTATAACTAGTGGGACAAAACCCACACCATTTATTCCTGACAGGAAAAGCTATCTGTCACCAAAAATCCAACACCATAGCATATCCAGGACAAAAGATACAAAAACTGAAAAAAAGAAGTTCTGCTGCAGTACCAAGGTCAGCCAACAGGAGGCCCATAGTTGACCTTGACCTTTGTCTTCCTACGACCTACCAACATACCAAATATCATCAAAATCCATAAAGGATTTCTGAAGTTATGCTGACTACAAATGTGCGAAAACACACACACACAGACACACACACAGACACACACACACACACACACACACACACATAGACACGTCACAACAAAAACAATACCTCCATTTTTCATGGAGGTAACAAGGCTGGACTCCAGACTAGTGTGTGCAGCTGTGGAGCGGGAATGTCCACGCCGCTTAACAGAAATTAGGACATGACAAATCAATCTACCTCTTTCAACATCACGCACATTTGAAAAATTCATTCCAAATCTCTTTTAACCCTAAACAGTACACCTGGGGTCCGCACGGACCCCAGCACTATATATTCTGTAATATCTTTTTGTTTCTAAAGATTTTTTTCTGAAATTTTAGGTAATTGTCACCCACAAAGTTGTCTCTCAATACAGTGCAGAAAACTCCGTTTCTACCATTTATAAAAAAAATTATATCTGATTTTCTTTTGGGGTCCGCTTGGACCCCAGCCGACTTTCGATCATAATGGATACACTGGCGTTCTTATACATTACCTTATTTCCGTTTTTATATGTTTCTATGCACTCATCGTATGTCTACCAAGTTTTCAGAGAATGGTGTAGTAATAGAATTACATTTTAATAACTTGGTGTAATTATGACGTCATATGACGTCAGAGCTAATGATATAGTCCGCCATATTGGATTTTGAACAATGACGTCATCAAATTAACATATTCTATGCATATTAAATGATTTAACTTATATTTGATTATGTAAGATGTTATTAATGTTGGAAAAGAAGTGTAATTTAATATAAAACTCAGAAAATTTTTATGTTTAAACCAAAATTACTTCTAATTTCAAAAAAACTGCCTGCTAGAAACCCGTTGCCATGGCAACACAAAAAAACATCAACTTACTAGTATTAAACTAATATGAACTTTTTTCCAGAGACATTTTAGGAAAGGTCTCCAAATTTGATACTTCTAGCATAAGCCGTTTAGCCGCTATCTGAGATCAAAGTTGGGCCTCAAAAGCCCCTTCAGTCTGAAATGGGTTTAAAAATCGGGTATTTCTTCTTGTCTTCTTTTCTTCACCAAAAAATAGAAAAACTTCAAAATGTATGATTTTTGTATGTAATGTGGACACAGAGGTTCCCACATCAGTTTGCAAAACAATTGAGCTGGTAGCATGTTGATAATTTCTAAACATTAGCAAATAACTGTTCTGGGGTCCGCGCGGACCCCAGGTGTACAGATTAATCAGTCCGGGAAGGTGTTCTGTTGAGGGTTAATGAAGTTTTTAATCCCTTAATCCAGTCGTCCAGTTTCTGAGATCTAGCATGTTTCAATACTGTTATTGTGAAATGTTATATTGCTATCTTGTCGGGGTATTTGCATTTGCAACTTTGTATCTATGAAGTAGACTTGAACGCATGAATGACATTGCAATGTCAGTCGAAAGTACATGCATATGTAACACCCTTCGGGGTAAAAAATCACTTATTCTAGAAGATATGTCTGCATTACACAAAGTTTTGTTCCATGCTTTGTGTAATGCGACACGTTTCTTGAATTCTTCCATTACTTGTATGATGAGCAGATGATATGCATAAGAAACATTTATAAGCGACGGTTTACGTAGGATGTAAGTAAGCAGTGCTGTGTTGTCGAAAGTGACTGGTTGTTTAAAAAGAAATAGCCCTTTAAATAAATGAAATACCTTTATTGTACGTTCATGCCACGACGGGCTAGGTACAGGTCAAGACTTAACAGATACATAACAAACATACGTAGAAAAGTGTAGACAAAAGATACACTGCTTGACTTAGACATACATACATAAGGAACATACAAGGGTACTATACTAGGCTAATACAAAGTGTTCTAGTTACTGAGCTAAATGAAAACAGCTCGGCACATTTGTATTTTGTATAGGATGTGGTCTTTTATTGATGTTCTACTCGTCTTGTTGAAGTGGATCGCAACTATGGGGTTGAAAACTTGAATAAAAGATGTTTTATCATTCTGTTGTTCTTTCTTGTCCAAATGATGTATGAATCAATAGTATGGTTTCTTTATTGTTGATGAGGCCTCACCGCCTTAATTTTATGGATGATATCCGCGCGCGCATTGATTTTCGCCTGTTCTAAAAAAAAAAGATCACGTCTACGGAGGCTCTGGCCTGGTTCTAGGCCTGGATAGTGCATGGCAGCAATACGGAGCCAGGCATCCAGGCTACCGAAGCTCCACGACTCAAGAACTCAGTACATACGTACAGTGCTGATTCATAAATTCCGCAAAAAGCCAGCATGTGCCGGCGTGTCGTATACGTCGCTAAGTACTGCCGCAAATTCACAATACCAGCTTTGTATTCCTGTGGTTTAGTAGCATTTTTATTTTTGGCCGGAATTTTTTTATTCGCCCGCGCGCACTAGTTTGGGGGACTTTAGAGGATGTCATCCATAAAATTAACTCGGTGTGGCCTTACCGACGTTGATCACCGGGGGAAGGTTCCATTCTGCTCACGGGCGGAAGGGCACCTTCTCCCGGTGGCTGATTGTAGGATGGCCGGCTATTAAAAGAACGCGTTAGAACCTCTTTCCCACCCGCCGCGGGGCCTGCACAGGATGCTAGCCAACAGGTACATGTATGTATACGTGATTCCATAACCGTTTGATCGCCCGTTCAACAGGCGCTCGCACGTATACGTACGAGGGGAGGTGTAATTGAGGTCAGAAGACCGCGGAAAGAGCAGTGAAATCTCCGCATGCAGTGTGCAGTCAGGCGGTGATTAAGGCCACAGCAAGTCATTTTTATGGATGACATCAGCGCCCGCAACAATTTTTCTGAAAAAAAGTTGCCCTCTGACAGTGGTCAACATGCCGAAAATGGGCAAAAATGTCTGTTGCCATGCCGGAAGGTTGATGGCAGATAACTATGAAGAGAGGAGACAAGAAAAGGCTCTGATTTAATGTTTTGGCACTTTGATGCAGTGATGTATTTCATTCCTTTTGTATGTGATGGTGGCTGTGTATAGTTTATGTTCCCACTGAAGTAAAACCATTTGTATAATGAATGCTGTAATAGTTGGCAGTAAACTTAGCACAATATAGGTGTCATTTCTTGTATAACAAGGTTTATGATGCCAATATCTTAAAATGTAGGAATCTTGTTCTTTTGGCCCGCCTTTTTTTCGCCCGCTCGCATTAGATTTGGAGTCTGCGGTAAATGTCAACCATCAAATTGACTTGCTGTGGCCTAAACGCCCGAGTGTGATGCATGTGTGCCGAACGCGCTCGTTTGGCCCGATAGACTGTGCAGCGGACTCTATATTCCGGGGTCGTCCCGTGCCAAGTGATTTGTCAGGTTTCAAGTCACGTCGATCCGTGGAGAGCAATAAAATAGCTTAGGCCACAGCAAGTAATTTTTATGGATGACATCAGCGCGCGCGTTAATTTCGCCTGATTTTGGGAAAAAAACGGAAATGGGCAAAGATGTCTGTTGCCATGCCGGAAGGTGGATGGCAGATAACTATAAGTATGAAGAGAGGAGACAAGAAAAGTGTCTGATTTAATGTTTTGTTTCCTACTTTGATGCAGTGATATGTGATGTTGGCTGTGTATATGTGATGTTCCTACTGAATCAAAACCATTTGTACAATGATTGAGTCAAAATTTTAAAATGTAGGACCTTGTTTTTTTTCGGCCCGCCTTGTTGTTTTTTTCACCCGCTCGCATTAAATTTGGAGTCTGCGGAGGATGTCATCCATAAAATTTACTTGCTGTGACCTTAGAGAGCGCGAGGGGTGTACTGTAATTTCACCTATTTTATTCCACCGCATTTCGCTCTGTATCTGTATCGGTACTATAGCCGGTATAACCGCCCTTCAGTGTAACACACCAGCTTCTGTATCTGTATAGTCGGTATAACCGCCCTTCGGCGTAACACACCAGCCTCTCAGTATCTGTATAGCCGGTATAACCGCCCTTCGGCGTAACACGCTAGCTTCTGTATCTGTATAGCCGGTATAACCACGCACCCTACAGCGTAACACACCAGTTTCTGTATCTGTATAGCCGGTATAACCGCCCTTCGGCGTAACACACCAGCTTCTGTATCTGTATAGCCGGTATAACCACCCTTCGGCGTAACACACCAGTTTCTGTATCTGTATAGCCGGTATAACCGCCCTTCGGCGTAACACACCAGCTTCGCAGGCACGCGGCGCGGCGACAGCTAGCTATATTCACACCGAACGACTTGTTACACTCAATCTTTGCACATTTAATTCCACGAGTTCTTTATAACCTTCTAGTGATAATGCCCCTACTGTACTTGGTGGCAACGAGTTCCACTCTACGATAGTTCTTGGAAAATAGGAGTTTTGAACACCTGAATTCTCAGTGGTTGATAAATCCGATATTTGAAGGCATGACTGTTTCTTGTTCTTATTCTGAGCTGGTATCAGATACTTAGTGGAAGCAAGGAGGTTAAATACATTGGTGGAAGGAAACATGTTCGTAGTGCTCTTAAATACAGGGTTTTGTATAACCGTATGATAATTCATACTGTATCTTTTACTGAAGAGAAGATCAAAATGTATGTTCTGAAGGTGGAGTGAAGTTGTTGTCTTGTAGAAT